AAATGATAATATTCTTTGAAATAACCATCGAATATGTAATTCATTTGTACTGCTTGTTTGAGTCTTCCCATTGATGTTTAGGACTTCAATTGTTCAGTCTCTTGGGAATTTCGCATCCTGTACGGAATGTCTCAATATTACTTTCATCTTAAAAGCATTGTTAGCAGAGGTGGACAGTGGCTAGCAGTGGAATTCTGCATGCAAATTTCATCCTATTTGGAACTCTTCAGGTGGATGCACCCGCTGATCAATCGCAGGTCTAAACATCAGTGGGAAGATTCAAACAACAAATACAAATAGATTAATCTTAAATCTGCTGCACAAGCGAGTGACTGTTTGGACCTAGTAGGTAAGTAGAGAGCATGATAATGTTTGAAGTGTAAGTTACTAGGTTCGAGTCCCGGGGTGAATATGAACTCTGAGATACAGGTACACCTAGCTGATGAATCTCAAAAAGGATGAAATGCAGGACCTGGATTCCACTGCTAGCCACTATCCACTTTTGCTAACATTGAGTAAATAGTTTATGACGTGAAATACAAGCAAATGGATCTTTATTTCACCTTAGTTTACTACAAACATTGAATAGCTTACACAGTGACTTTTTGATGTTAATATGGAATCTATCCGTAGAAAATTTGTTTCCTTGCGATAAATTATTCCTAAACGCTCCGTCGCATTCATAAAAAATGAGTATGTTAGACAGACGAATTCGCAGTCGTTTGAAAATATCAGTGATTGCGTGAATTGAACCTGTAAGTGTAGAAAGTACAGCTCAAATATATGGAGTCCTGTATTGACAATAAACAACCGTTCAATTTCACCAGATTTCCAGTGAATGCACAAGTAATGTTAAGCTGTGAATTTAGTGAAGATGATCCAAAGTATTGTGAAACGTAAGTTGTCATCGCTTCCCAGGTGCTCATACCTCGGAAGGATGATTCTTCCTGAGATACATGAAAATTGAACTGCATTAGTGGTGATCTTAGTAACTTGATATCATTAACGCAGAGACCGAGGAAAAAATATATGAGACCGGTCACACACGGTCTTCTTGAAAGCAGTTATTTATATCCCTAACTCTGAATTTAAAAAACGTGACAGATTGCAACAGAAACCATCAGGTAAAGTGAGGTGTGATATTTTCAGAGGTGACGTTTAATAACTTTTTCTTCCCTTTATGAGAAGATAGAGATACTGGTTGTGTCAAGAAAGTAACTCATCGACATCATTTTCCAGAGTAACTTTCAGTAAGACTTCACCCGCAGACCTTAAGTTACTATTTTAGTCTTATCGTTCTCCATACAACCACTGTAGGATAGTAAGAACTAAATGAAAAGCGTTCCTATTGGTATAGCCTCTCTGAGTCATAGTGAGAGACAAATGCAACCACTATCTCAAGATATCAGCTATGGTTGTGAAATGAGATGCACAAACATGTAAGTTAGATTTACAAAATATTTTTATCATCAACTTCATGTTGTCTAATAATGAACTGACTACAGATTTTTTTAATTTTCAGTAATTCTGTTTTTCGCTTAATTATTATATGGTGAGCAATGACTAACTCGATTGGAATGCGAATGACATATGAAATTGATTTATTCCAATCATCTGTGACATGTAATCACATTTTCAGAGATAATTCATAACATAGTCAATTAGTTATATCTTTTAGTTGTAGATGCTGATGTTGAATTCTGCTCAGATCAATTTTACGTTATCTGGCTGCAAATAAATCATACGAAAAGTAATGTACTCGTACATCATTTTGAGGGTTAAATAAGAGTGGAAACACACACCACATTATCAGATCATCTAATTGTATTGTAATCAGTAATCATGGCTGTTTTCGTTCATTTAGTCCCTAAATCGTACATAATTGGGAGAAATTCCCATTATAAACTTAATTGGAGTTGTGGCTTTTACCTGGCTTTAATTTTGTTTTCATTATAACTGACTACGCTAAAGCCAACGCGCCCGTAACAGCACAGAATGATACTGATTGATAGCACAGTTGATTCTCTTTTGTCTGATAAGAAAACCTAATCTATCATCTTTGGGTTTCCCTTACTTGCATCGTTTGATTCACGGTTTCCCAGTACCGAGTCAGTCAATCATTTCCGGGAACATAACAGTTATCAAGATTGTTGTAACTTCTGTCAATTATTACCACATGCGAAATTACTAAAATGTATTTAACAGTGTTAATGTCTAACTTCGATCAATTCACGGTCTTGCGCAACCTCATACATTGTCTTCGGTAGTTACTGGCTACACCCGAACATGTTGAACTTCACTGGTCTCAACTTCTCATCAGAACTCAGAGAAGATTCCTCACGGGGCTAGTCACTAGTTAGCACAGGATTGTGCAGATTGCTAAGTTACTCATTGGAATCATGAACCGATCAGTGTTAGACCACCATCAGAAACCTGGAAACACTGGACATACACACCGGGCATGTTCAACATGACACAGATGATTTTATGGGATATTTTTTGATTCACTGAATTATTAATAATTTTTAACTTATTCTTTACACATATGTTCAACACTATATGTTGGAGGTAATTTTCGTGTGATATAAAAGTAGCTTACAATCATGTTATGGAAAATTAGTAATTTTATGTGACTACTTTTATTGAAGTGTATTGATGACTCTTTCAATTATAATACTAACTATCAGAATTTATTTATCACCATTATCCATATGAATGTGAAATGGGAGGAAGAAACAAATATTATGTAGTAAGAAAGTGATTCATGGCTGGGCAGTTGGAATAGCATTACAACTATGCAAATAAAGAATTAAAGTTCTTCTGAGTAATCAGAATGACTATACTTGTAGGTGCCGTTTTATTCACTAAAAATTATAATAATTATTATTATTATCGTACAGAACAAAGTCGAATAAAAAAAATGCCCAATGAAATACATAAATTACCTGACGATATATAGTTTTAAGTAATAATTAAAGTGATACTGATAACAAGTCTTGTTCTCTGAATCAAACAATAAAATGTTATATCGCTATTTACATGAAGGCTAGTTTCGATTTGATTATCAATGTAGTTCAATGTAGATGGTTTACACATTCAAAATTATCCAACTCTACTTTATAATCATAGTTATATGGATAAATAATTTTGAAACATCTGTTTATATGAATAGTTGTTTTAGTACAATACAACACAGTACAGTACAATACAATACAAAAAAAAGTAATGATCATCAAAATCTGAGAATATAATTATACAGTTTATTTATCTGTAAATAACAGTCTGTTCTTTCAGTAACTTTAAACAACTATTTGGAAAAGAGAAGAATTTGATATATAAAATCAGCTGTGTATGAAAAATAAGAAGAGGAATTGTGATACACATACAATGTTAAATATGAATATATGTATATATATATATTGACAATTGATCATCATTATCATTCTTATACAGACATACATAGAGATAATATAGATAGATTATCATTAAAGTAAGGTGTTCATATAGTTGATGAAATATTTTAAAATATCAATACAAACAATTCATTATAAGTAGATTAACATAAAAAAATATATTGAATTTATAATTAGTCATTGAAACATATGTAATTAGAATTCAATGACTCATCACTGTCATATTTCTATGTCAGTAATGTTATTGTGAACTTTGGGTTAGTGATTTGAATACATTGATTAAATATTCACTAGTAAATTATTAGGATATAGGTATGCTTCAATGATTAAACATACTTAATTCTGATAGCACAAAAATATTGAAAAGCAATGATATGTTATGTTAATTTAATTATATTTTTTTAAATTTTGTATACTGAGTTCATATTCGTTAAACATGTCGTAATTAGTGTCATTTAATGTTATTCAACTGAGCTAACGTGAATTGTGTGGTGTAGTTCGTTCATTCATACCATTAACTAAATTAAGACAAACTGTCTTTGAACAATACAACTTCTTTTAAGAACCAAAAGAAAATGGGAAACTTTTTTGTCCTGATTAACAAATCCTTCCCTATGATCATCCTCAACCCCACCAAATAATTGTAGATTGGATGAAAATAGAATAAAGACCATTTAAATTCAACTCAGTAATATAAAATGATTGAAGTTATTCGGTTTAGACTCATGGTGATACCGCTGGTTTTTCATTACTGATGAGTTGAAATCAAAAACAAAACGCTATACATCGCCAGCTAATTTTTAGTGATTGTCTAGCTTAAGTCAGTCTTGACTGCAAATTGAGTTTCGACTTGCTACTTTATTATCTCTCTTCTCTTAAATTCGAAGATTCACCTTTCGTTGCAAAGTACCTTTCACATTTGCTGGGAACAAATACCTTTCTATTTTTGTCAGTCTAGCTCGTTTGATGCAGTACTTATCATATTCAGTAAGTCCACTGTCAAATTAGTAAATATGAATCAGATTTGTCTGTGTAAGCCCCTTTATCGAGTAGGTAGTTTTATATTATTTGTACACTTTTAGAGGCTATGCCTGTTTGTCCACGCTCGACGACCAATCATAATTTCCTTTCGCTACCATACATCATTACAATCATAACTGAATCAACATTTTTTCGTTTGTCACCATAGTCCATTCTAAGCACAGCATAAAATAACTTTTAAACAAAAGACAAACAACTCTTACTCAAAAATGATATTGGTTGACAGCAACTCAATTCATAATATGTTCATAATCTAGTCAACTGAATAATAGGAAAATAATAACTAAAGCTTGTTTATTCATTTTTGTGATGACAATATTATTCAAAAAAATCTAAATTGTAAGTTGATGGATAAGGGTTAAATAAGCTGATTAAAGATTGACAGAAGCTACATTTAATAATTAATTTGAAAAAAGAAACAATTAATCTCCGTCAAAAGTGGTCATAAACTTGAACAAAAAATTGATAATGAAGTGAGCAGATAGTAGTGTTTATGCTAATTTATCAAGTTGAAAGAAAAAAAGTGGACATGGATAATTTTAAAACTTAAAAATTCCAGTTGACAGTGAAATCCTTAGATAATGTCATATAATACTGACTAGTTATGCGACAAGTTTCTTCATGATGATGATAGGTGAATTTCAATGGATTATTGTTGAACTTAATTTCACTGGGGCTTTTATTAAGACCAACAATAAAAATAATTTTAAGGTCTAGTTCTTTCAAATCGATTTTCGCTAAGCTTTCCACACTAGAAGGAGTAGAAGTCACTGTCAACATACGATCACGCACTTCAAATTTCACGTGCACATAATTCAAATTTGCATCATCTCCATTGTCCCAGAACAATTCACCCGATGCTGTGATTCTCCGACCAGCAGAATCGCTTCCATCATCAGTTGAAGACAAAATCACAAATAAACCAAATCCTTTCTTACGAGCGATATCAGTAGTTTCAGCAGCAATCTGAATAGGAACTATACAGCCACAACGCATTGAAATCGGAATCACATTCAAAGGAGCATCGAAATATTTCCAAGTACCTCGACTGAAATACCGTCTACCGGTGGATAGGTTGATCCATTCTCCTGATGGAACATAACCCTCAACAAATGTTCGACCCTCGTCCAGCACTGGAGTGACCAAAATACAGGAACCGAGCATGAATTGTGCACTGATTCTATGCGTGGCCAGGTCTTCAGGGAATTCGAATGCGAGAGCACGAGCCACAGTTGTTCCATTGAAGTATGATCGGTAAAATAAAGTGTATATATAAGGCAGTAGATGGTATCTTAACTTCAAAGAATCTTTGATTGCCTCAACGGTTTCTTTACTCCAGCATCCAGGGTCTTGATTGTTTGAACCATGTGCATTATGATTTCGTACAAACGGAATAAAAGCACCTAACTGACTCCATCGGATACATAGTTCCTCTGTCGTATTTCCTGTAAATCCACATATATCAGCACCCACCATCGGAATACCAAACATGTTGAAGTTAATGATTTGCGTCACAGAAGTTCTCAAACTATCCCAGTTTGACAAAACATCGCCAGTCCAATGAGCCGCATACAACCCCGAACCTGCAAAGCTTGAACGTGTCAATATGAAAGGTCGTTTATCAGGAAACATTCGAGTCAAAACTCTGTTCGTTACTCGAGCCATATAGTAACCATACATATTGTGCAGATTATAATGCGTTGTGTTGTAATGCAAGGCTGACGGACAGATCGTCTTGTCATACAACGAGTTCTGAAGAATCTTTGGAACATAGGGAGGATTGTCAAGTTTGTTCTCTGATGGACAGCCACTGAGTGATCCGGAGTTGAAATTGGCTGGTTCATTCATGTCTATCCATAAACCATCGAAGTCAACCACTTTGTGGAAATCCGATGCCGATTCGAACCACCATTGTTCAGCTGAAGGGTGTGAGAAATCTGGAAAGACTGTCTCGCCTGGCCACACGGTACCCAGAATCGGTGTTCCAGTTCGACTATCGTTGATGAAAATACCAAGTCTCATCCCATCTTCATATGGACGATATCCGGTGCCACCTTTCGTGCTGACGGCTGGATCTACGATTAACACTGTTTTCATACCATATTTCTTGTGCAGAACATCCCTGATAAAAACGTCCATTCCACCGAATCGTTTTGTGTCTATTGACCATATTTTGTGTGCATCCATATAATCAATGTCAAACCACTGAGCATCCATTGGAATTCCAGCTTCCACATTTCGTTTGAGAACTTCTTTCGCTTCGTCCAGATTTTGCAATCCATATCTGCAAACGTGGAATCCTAGTGACCAATATGGGGGTATTGGTGGATGACCAATAAGATCATAATATTGATTGAGTACATCTAGTGGTTTCGGTCCAGTGAACACGAAGAAATCTAATATCCCTCCAATAGTTCTGTATGTGATAGCTGGTAGAGGTGTTATTGCTACTTCCTGTGCATTGCTGTTTAAGAAGAAGACTCCGAATGCACTGCCATCATATTTTAAACCCATAAAGAAATTGTGAGTTCCATACAGATTTGAATTAGGTTGAGGTATTCCATCATGTGACCAAAATCCCAAACGCATCCACTTGTTTAATGGATTTGGATATACATTTTCGAATTCTCCAGGACCAAAACCTTTTTGTGCATTTATACGGAATGTTATTTGTAAAAATTGATTTGATATGATTAGCGACGAAGACAGTGAACCCGTTGAATCGAGCATTACATCTTGTTTGTCATTGTTTCTCGTTATCTGTAGTAATTATTTGAGAAAATAGAAAGCAAACTGAATCAATCGCAATCTCATATATATATATATATATACATATATATATATGATTTTAATTTTTCTCTAATTACATTCACAAATTACTCGTTGATAGAAGTTCAATATTTAATGAAGACTTTTTAATGATAATTTTATTTGTGTGCGGTGTCACTGAATTCCACTTAAACCGACATTTAATTTTCTTTATGAAACCCAGGACCTTATGCTGTACCTCTAGACCACTGAAGTGATAGATTAAGCTTTCATGCGTGAAACCGAAGTCCCTGAGTTAAGTTTACGCTTGTGTGGTCATGGACGCTCATTGCTTAAGAGTTTCGTACTAGGACAAAACAGTCGTACAATACTTTTAGGTTTTCAATGATGATCTAACATTGATCTGTTCATAGTTTCAATGAAATAATGAATTCATCAAATATTTAATTCGAATGGAAAACTTTTTACAGGTTATTCGTTGGTATACTTTATTATTGTTTCTTTAAAATCCTGAATTCTTATTTTCTATAATTATTATTTGAATTGTACTACCGTAGAAAAAAAGCATGATTATGCATTCTTTTTGAAAAAGACTTTTTCCGTAAATATGTTTCATGTCATTTTGTTTGTCTGATTCAATGTATTACATATTAACATGTCAGTAAAATAAGTTGACTGATGGTATATCCTTTCAGACGATAGTAAATTTCAAATATCTCCTAATCTATTACAGCCTAATTGTGAAAGTCAATGACATTTTGATGAAAATGGGGCAGTTATTTCACCAAGAATTCTGAGTAGTATGAGCCTGAATCTACACAGACACACACAGTTGAACATAAGTCAAACAAAGACAACTCAAAAAATGTTAGTTTATTTTTTCTCAAATCTAGTCAGGTTGATTTGTCTTCATCCAAATCCATTGTAGGTTGACGCATTAGTTCACGAAATCTCGTTGTTGAGTAGTTGAAATGCGATGTCTTTCCACAAGGAGAACGGATAACTTATGTGAAACAAACGGAATCAATTCAATAATAATGAAACATTATTTCTGATGTAACTAGTGTTAGACAGACAGACAGATACAACGCAGAACTTCGTATATGAGTACATAAGTTCAGGTTTCCATACCACATCAGCACACCGACTCAATTATCAGTTCAAATCACATAGTAGTATAGGTAGTAGAAGTATTAGCAGTAATGGAGAAGATTAGGGAGCGAAGATATTATTCAAGAAGTATATTTCAGTAAGATAAATTTAGAAAGAGAAGGATAGAGTTGATGAGGAATTTAGAGGGTTAGAATTAGAGAGAACACAAAGAGTGGATGCACCTGCCCGATCGCAAACGATTTTGAGCCATGTCTCTCAAGGTCTCTAACCATCGGTGACTTTCTTCTCGCGGACCCCAACCCGGTAGTCGACAACTACCGACACGACTCAGTCCACTTGTCAGTGACTTCATGGATTTCTTCCATGTTTTGGTCTGGCCGCCCCTAGCATTCATCCAACCTATTCCTTAATCGCAAAACATAGCTCGACGAGGCAGTCGGTTGTTAGGCACACGTAACGCATATCCCAACAACCTCAACTGATGAAGTTTCAATATTTCATCTGTTGACCTGCCATCCTTACCTAGTACTCGTCTCCTAATGACAGCATTGCTTACTCGGTTGTCCCACGATACACGAGCAATGCTTCAGAAACACTGATGATCGAAGACTAGTAACCTACGAAAGTCCTCTACTCTTAGCGGCTATGTTTCGCCTCCGTATAGTAGGACGGAGCGAACTGCTAAATAGTACACTCGTCCTTTGGTTAGCAAGCGGGTATCTCGCCTGAGCCATAGGTGATGCCGGTCGGCAAAAGCCAACAGAGCCTGCTGTATCCGTGCTGAGATTTCGTCAGTCACCAGGCCATCAGCATTGAAGAGAATACACAGAAAGTTGAAGCGGTCTACACGTTCGATTACTTCACTCCCTATCACAAGTTCCGGTGAAATAGCAAGCCAGTCCTGAAGCAACATTTTGCATTTGGAGGGTGAGAACCGCATCCCGAACATGCTCGCATTGTTGCTTAGGGTAGTAAGAAGACTCTGCATTTTGTTAGTGTCTGCACCAAGTAGGACTATGTCATCGGCATATTCTAAGTCAACTAATGAATCCACCGGTAGAAGTTCTACTCCTGAGAAAGACGAAGCATCCTGGTTGAAGGTCTACTCCTGAAAATTCAGACGAAGATAATGTTATATCTAGAAGCATGTCTATGACAAAATTGAACAAGAATGGAGAAAGTGGACATCCCTGACGAACACCACTTGAAGTGAAGAATTCCGATGACAGTTCTCCATAAGCTCTCACTCGACCTGTAGTGTCTGAGTAGAGAGCTAGTGTAAGGTTAATGTACTTCTCTGGTACACCTTTCAATAACAGACACTGCCACTGAACATCACGATCCACAGAGTGGAATGCCGCCTTCAGGTCCAGGAAAATAACTATTGTAGGACGCCTAAATGTGTGCCTGTGTTCCAGGACCTGTCGCAGTGTGAAGATGTGGTCTATACAGCTGCGTCCAGGTTGAAAACCAGACTGGTTTTCTCTAGTCTGCTCTTCACAAGCTTTTGTTAGGCGCCGAAGTATTATTGAGGCCAATATTTTAGATACTATATTGGTTAGACTTATTCCCCTGTGATTGCACCAAGAAGACTTTTGTCCTTTCTTATAAATTGGGACAATCAGTGATTGAGACCAGTCAGATAGGATTACATCCAGTTCCCGGATTCTACCTAAGATGTCAGTCAACCTAGCTGCTAAAACTGGACCACCATCCTTAAATATCTCAGGGGTCAGTCTACCAGGATCCACTACTCGCCCTCGCTTCAGGTTTCCTAACGCTTTCTCAACTTCGTAAAGCCTGGGGGGACCTACGTCGATTTGCCATTCAGGATGACTGGAGATCGTGGGTAACCGATGAGTAGCTCGAGGCCAATTGAACTGATCCCTAAGCTGACTTCGTTCTTCATCATGTTCACAGTTAGGTGGGATGAGTTTTCGAGCATCCATCAGTTCGGTGGATGCTACTGAGATCCAGTACTTTGTTCTAGCCTTATGGTTTACCTTACTAGCAAATATCACTGCTGTTTCCACAGCCTTTTTGATATCATTCCAACCTGCTTCCGGATGCGAATCGCTTACATGGTTGCCTAACTGTCTTTCTAGTTGTTCGTAAAACATATTCTTAGCTTTATTATCATTAGGTAAAACCCTTGGAGGCTTCCTTACGGTTTTCTTCCTACTCCCAGTTAGATGCAAACAAATACGCGCTCACAGTAGGGCATGATCTGAATTTAAACATATGCCCCAGAACGAGCGACAGTCCTCTATCGAACCCCTTCATTGATGGCTGATGTCGATGTGATCTAGTTGGGTCCAACGTTGAGACGACTTCGGGCTTGGAATTTAATACATCATATTTTCAATCTTTGCCATTAATATAGTGAAATTTTCACTCATTCAGACCTGGTTAGCTTAAAATACTTGAAAAACTAGCTGTATGAACCAAACCAGCAATAGTAATGGTAGAAATCAATAAAATTAATAACCTATAAAACTCTCAGTTCAAATTTGTTCAAAAAATTTCTATTGTCTAAAGAAAATTTATAATTTCAATTGTAGAGAAATTTACGTTGAAGAAGATATAAATCCGACAATCTTTGCATTACCATCACAACTTTCTGTCAAATTTACTAAAATAAAAAACAATCATGAACCAAGTTTTATTGGGAAGAGAATCAGGCAGTTAATTGAATTTGACTTCATATTTAGTCTCTGAATTTAAATCAGATTGAATGAGACTAACTAAGCAAAAAGGTGCAAATTCTATGGTAATATAAATTCTTCTTTAGCTTCAGTTATCGTGTTTGCATAGAGAAATCAGTCTATTAACCAAGGGCAAGTCAGACAGCCTAGTTAGTAATCTTTTGATTATTCCTACTATTTTACGATTAGTCATTGTTTGATAGGAATAATTCCAAAATCGAATAAAGCATTCTTTGATGAGGTCATAGAGTCTGAAATACACTAGTTTGACCTAGTTGATCATTGATATTTATTATTATTACTATTATTATTTTAAAATAATCGAACAGTTCAAGGTGTTATCCGTTTTCATTTATAAAATGATAGTTTTCAAAGTTTGTTTACATTCCATCTAATGTTAAAATGTCGATCATTTGGGATTAATCATTCTGTTATCAGTAAGTTTATTTAACAACAGCAACACTAATTCATTTATCATGTTTGTGATAAGAAAGTTTTTTTCATCACAAAATGATTTTCGTATCAAAAAATAACTATTCTCTATTCTATTTAT